TCCAGGTGCATACACGCTTATTATGACCCACTTCTCGCATCCAACCTTTACTTTAATCCACATAATTCTTGAATTTACACATTCATATTCTCTTTTCTCCTTCCATAACTGATCACTTAACATTACTGCTACCCCTTCCTTTGCTCTAACTCTCTCAGATACTCCAGATTTAATCCCATTTATTTCCCCCCACTGAAACTCTCCTACCCCTTTCAGCTTTGTTTCGCTTAGAGCCAGGACATCCAACTTCTTTTCATTCATAACATCAGCAATCATCTGTTTCTTGTCATCCGCACTACATCCACGCACATTTAAGCATCCCAGTTTTATAAAGTTTTTCTTCTTCTCTTTTTTAGTAAATGTATACAGGAGAAGGGGTTACTAGCCCATTGCTCCCGGCATTTTAGTCGCCTAAAATATTATCTTAATGGTAGACACCAGTATGTGTACACAAACGGCATGACCTTCAATACTCAGCCTGTAGTTATTGGGGTGCCACAGGGAAATGTCCTAGGTCCTCTACTCTTTCTTATTTACATCAATGACCTCCCAAATGCATTGCTACTCCTTAAACCAGTTCTATTCATGGATGACACCACATATGTCTTCTCCCACCCAAACTCAGCTATACTTAGCAACACTGTAAACAGCAAGCTACTTAAAATATCAAACTGGATGACTACCAACAAATTTATCCTCAATACAGAGAAAACCTACTTCATGCTTTTTGGAAACAGAGCATCAAATATCCAGCTAAACATATCAATAAATGGTTCACCCATTACAAGACACACTGAGGGCAAATTTCGAAGTCTCCACCTCGACTGTAATCTTAAATTTCAGACCCACATCCAGCACATAACTAAGAAAGTTTCCAAAACAGTAGGTATCCTTTCCAAGATATGATACTATGTACCCCAATGAGCCCTCCTTATCTTATATCGCTCTCTAATATACCCTTACCTCACCTATGGTATTTGTGCTTGGGGATCTACCACGGCCAATCACCTCAAACCTTTAATAACCCAACAAAAAGCGGCAGAGAGGATGATCATAAACTCCAGTGCCAGACAACACACCCCCACCTCTCTTCAAAAACATGAACTTACTTAATATACATAATTTTTTTTTTCAACAAGTCGGCCGTCTCCCACCGAGGCAGGGTGACCCAAAAAGAAAGAAAATCCCTAAAAAGAAAATACTTTCATCATTCAACACTTTCACCTCACTCACACATAATCACTGTTTTTGCAGAGGTGCTCAGAATACGACAGTTTAGAAGTATATACATATAAAGATACACAACATATTCCTCCAAACTGCCAATATACAGATATACATAATATACACACTTATTATTGTGCCTACTACATATACAGACATTAAACTCCAATATCAACCCTCTGCTCAAACTTCTCCTAGACACACACAAATAACACACACATAGAAGAGAGGAGCTTACAACGACGTTTCAGTCCGACTTGGCACAATTACAAAGTCACACTAACAAAAAGGAAAGGAGGAGGGAGAATATATAGGCCAGCAGACAGGGATGGGACAAGAAAGGTAGTAGCGGAGGTGGTAGTAGTAGTAGTAGTAGTGGAGTCAGTCAAGTATTGTGCCTTTTTCTGTTATTCTCCTAGACAGCTTCAACAGAACACACAGGCATAACATGAGGCACAAAATGCTTTTTGACATCCCTCATGTCCATCTCACACTTTGCAAAAATGCAATGCACATAAAGGGCCCTAAGATCCGGAACTCTTTGTCTGAAACAGCAAGAGGTCTCCTGCCCACAAATCAGATTAGGATCATACTCAAAAATCATCTCATCCCTCAATAACAAACTTACCCACACCATGCTAAACCCCAACCAAATTCAAAGCAACTCCCCCAAATACTTTATTATCCCTTAACTATTAAGTCATTTTTACAAACTTATAAATGTATGTTTGTATCACTAATTGTACTACCTCATATTAATAACAGAGTAAATGAACTTAATCACAAACTTAAAAATGTATGATTGATTGTATCATAAATTGATTGTATCATAAATTGTACTACCTCATATTAATAATAAGATTGAAATATAGAATATTTGTATTCTACCATTGTTGAAGAACCTAATTTTGCACCTAAAAATGTAAGACTGTCATAAATTGTACTACCGCATATTAACAATACAGTGAATATTGGCTGTTTGTATTCTACCACTCTTCACCTGTCTAGACTTAAGTAGTCTATAAGTATAAGGTTAAGTCTGCCTGAAATACTTCGGCATAATAGTGGCTTTCTTTGCTCCAATCATACTATGATATGTATACACACACTGTAACCTTAGGAAAGAAATAAATATTTTATTATTTATTTATTTAACAATTACAGGCTTTCGTTTTACACACACTTGGCAGGACGGTAGTACCTCCTTGGGCGGGTGCTGTCTACCACCCTATGTGCACGCTTACCAATTTGTGGTTGCAGGGGCTGATTCTCAGATCCTGGACTTTTAACTTACAACTTACCAGATTCATCCCCTTTCTCAAATACAGGAATTACATTTGCTCTTTTCAAGATCTCTGGCAACTGTTTCGTATCCATTGATTTATTACAGATCTCAGTCAGTAGTTCAAACAACGCTTCTGCACCCTCTTGCAGAATCCACAATGCAATTTTGTTAGGTCCATTGCCTTTGATGTATCCAGGTTCATCGAAAATGTCTACCTCTTCTGTTATGTGGATGGCATCCAGAACACCCTGGCCCCTAGGCTTTCTGGTATTGTCTGTTTCCACTCAGAAGACCTATTGAAATCTTATACCAAACACTCTAGATTTCCTTGTAATTTTTGTAAGCTCTTTTCCTTCAGTCAAATTACCTGGTCTTTAGCTGTAGTCTTTCTTCTGATGTGGCTGTGAAACAGTTTTGGTTCAGACTTGGCCTTTGTTGCAGTGTCAAAACTGTCAGTGGTGACAATAAGGCAGGAGGAGGTGCATTTCCTTCTTAAATCACTTGACCATCACTTGACCAAGAAAAGGCTATGGGCCCAGACAAGTTGAGCCCAAGGTTGCTGAAAAGATGTGCAGACCAGCTAGCAGCACCTCTAACTCACATCTTTCAGCACAGCCTGGCACAGTGTAAATGGCCTTCTCTATGGAAAGAGGCAAATGTAGTCCATGTTCCTCAGTGATTACCTTCAAGGAAGATCTCTAAGGGTAGTTCTCAATGGAACAGTATCAGCAAGACATCCTATTGGAGCAAGTGTTCCACAAAGAAGTGTGCTGGGACCACTGTTATGGAATGTCTATTTCAATGACCTTCTTCATCTCATCCCAGAATCCCATGCATATGCAGATGACTGTACGCTGACATTCACTTATCCAAGAGAAGAAATGCCAGCTGCTCTAAGATATATCAATCACCAGCTAAGAGCTATATCAGCTTGGGGAAACTGATGGCAAGTAACATTTGCACCTAAGAAAATACAAATGACGATGGTCTCCTGGTACCATGATGGTAATGCCAGAGCTGTAGTAAGTATGAATGGGAGTGTGTTGGTACCTGGGGAAGAAGTTGATATCCATAGGGTGAAATCTGACTCCAAACTGATCATGAAGAACCATGTTGTAAATCTTGCAAACAAGGGAGCCAGGAAGCTTACAGCACTTTGCCATATCTCGCATCTGCTTGACAGTAGGGGTTGTGAGATTCTGTATGAGGCACAAGTATGCTCACACCTTGAGTATGCTCCAATTTATTGATTTGCCCCCTCCCCCCTCATCTGCGGCTGCTTGACAGAGTAGAGAACAGAGCAAGATGTCTCATCTCTCGCCTGGATCCATCTTGGATAGATTTGTCATTTCAGCAGAGCCTTCAACACAGGAGGGATGTGGATAGCCAACATTGTCAAAGTACCACACTTGGCTCCACTTTGAGGACAGCTAGAAGCAAGCTTCTATACCACAAGATGGGCAGAAAGCAGCAACTTCACTCTGGTTGTACCCTTCTCCAGAACATCACTTCATCTGAGATCATTTATCCTCAGGATGACTTGAGTCTGGAACACATTCGTACAGCATTATGATGTCAATGAGATAAAGTCAGCTGATCAAATGAAAATGCTGACCCACAGATGGCTCCAACTTCATCCTGTTCCCTACTTGTATGTTTCATAACAACAGAAATGCTTTCAAATGAGCTGATGTAGGTGACAGCTCTTAGCTCGTCAATAAAGTTAGGAATCCTTAACTTGTAAATAGCTTGTCAGTAAAGCTAGGGATCCTTAACCTAACCTTGTCAAACCCTGTGTAAAAAAAAAAAAAAGTCATTCAGCCACTATCCTCACCCTAGCATATTTGTTTCTTTCTGTAACTGTATATGTGTACTCACCCTTTTATGGTGGCAGGGGTTGATTCTCAGCTTCTGGCTCGCTTCTTACCTTGCCACTTGCTAGATTCACCACTTCATATTCTCATGGGCTCCTACTGTACCTGTGTATCTGCTCTTAAAACTGTGTGTGGAGCCTACCTTCACCACTTCCTTATTGAAATCATTCCACTTCCTGACCACCCTGAGACTAAAGGAACACTTCTGACATTCCTGCTGCTCATTTCTGTCATCAGCTTCCAATGGTGTCCGAGTTTCCATTTCTTGCCTCTCAAATGACATGTTTCTATGAATCTACCTTGTCAATTCCCCTGAGTATTTTGTAGGAATCGTGTCTTCCCTGTTTGTTCTGTCCTTTAATATCATTAAATTCAATTTATTAGCCTCTCTTCATAGCTCATGCCCCTTAGCTAAGGAAAAATGTTCTTGTATGTGTGTTTGCAAATATATGTGTGCTTGAACATGTGTAATATTAATATTTTAAAAAGTATCGATGATATCAGCCACTTTTTCACTGATACCGATAACATAAAAACAGCCAATATTCGCCACCGGTATACTTTCATGTGTGTGTATGTATACATAATGTGTGTATGTATTTATATATATTTATTACCTTCAAATTCAGGTATACATTTTCTTGTTACTGCAGCTGGTCTTCCTCTGTATTCCATCACTTCAACTTTTTTATACCTTGGTTCTTCAGATGGTAAACTTGCTTGCTGGGTTTCTATATATCTCTTGGCATTCAGATCTTCGTATTCTTTAATTTTGTCTTCAACAGCTTTCTTAGCCTTCATATATTCTAACTCTACAACTTCTCCTTGAAAGATAAATGGAAAAAATGAGTTTAACAAACATGGAAATACTTAAAATATATATCAAGGTGTTCAGTCCCTCAGCCTTGACAGAAGTGGAGGTAATATTAAAGCATTCAGTCCCTCAGCTGTCATAGAATTTGATCAGATTAATGATCAGTCTTAAGTAGAGGAAAATTGTTGAGACTAGATATACTAGACGAGAAGTGAGGTGTGGCTGTTGGAGATGGAATGACAGGAGACGGAGACCACTAGCAAGCTAGTACTAAACAGGTTCTTTTCAAATTCAACCCTTCTCATACATAAGAACATGTCATGTATATGTATCCACAGTTGTATACCTCTACTTCAAGGTAATCAATATTATAAAACTGAACAACTTTTATCAAGACTGATGAACTGAACACCTTAAAATTATCCATTCCTATAAAGACTGAAGAACTGAACCCCTCAAATTCTCCACTTCTTCAAACATCTCCAATACATTAATCACTTCTGTATTGGACTGAAGAAGCCTGCTGCACAGACAAAATGTCTGAGCAATAAAGATATCCAAGTGTTGCATGTGTCTTATTCACCAACTTGTCAATATTGTATACCATTAATACAATGATAGTTGTAGTTTTGTTCACTGGGTTTTTTTGTATCTGAGTTTTTCTGTATCATTCTTTGAATATGTATCTTCAGATTGTGCTGTTTTGTGTTTTTTCATGCTATTGTTAACTTTTGATATTATGTTACTGGATCACTCACTACCTTGCATTATTTTTGTCTCACTTAACCTGGTCTGTACACTAGTTGTTTGAGCTGTATCTGCTTCATTTTCCTATTTTCATGTATTTCCAGTAAGCTCTCCAAGAGCGCTTTTTTTTATTATTGCACCTGCCCAAACTTTTTAATAATATGTACATATTCAGTAAAATTCACAATGATGGTTATAACCAATGACATTAATCAAATCTTGGGATTATTCACAATTTCCAAAGTTTCAGTGAGGCTCAGTGGTATTCTCCCAGTACCTGATACTGCAGTTACTTAACTTTACTTACTAAGCTGGCTACTCACATTTGACTTCATAATCTCATTCTTTCACCTCAGGGTCTCTCTCCAACCTCTATAAATACCCATGTCTTGTTCTCTTTGTGAACTGATAAAGCTCCTGGTGGACATAATGTTTTCATAATAAAATGTTATAACCCACAATGTGTGATTTATTTACATATCCAGTAACATTTCCTTCATTCAGTCTCATTGATAAATATATACTCAGTGTAAATTTGAGCACAGATAACATAATACCAGCTTTTGTCTATTACCCACCAAATTCCTCTTATAGTACCTCTTAATTTTCTTTTACACTGTCCACACACTGCAGTCATGATAGCCATTTTGAAAGAAGCATGGGCTTAGGGTATCTATATACCTTGGTGGTATATTTACTTAAATTGGCTTCAACAATTTAGTTACTGTTAGGTGATGAAAGATTGAATATCAGATTGGAGGGAGAGAGTATGGAGGAGGTGAATGTATTCAGATATTTGGGAGTGGACGTGTCAGCGGATGGGTCTATGAAAGATGAGGTGAATCATAGAATTGATGAGGGAAAAAGAGTGAGTGGTGCACTTAGGAGTCTGTGGAGACAAAGAACTTTGTCCTTGGAGGCAAAGAGGGGAATGTATGAGAGTATAGTTTTACCAACACTCTTATATGGGTGTGAAGCATGGGTGATGAATGTTGCAGCGAGGAGAAGGCTGGAGGCAGTGGAGATGTCATGTCTGAGGGCAATGTGTGGTGTGAATATAATGCAGAGAATTCGTAGTTTGGAAGTTAGGAGGAGGTGCGGGATTACCAAAACTGTTGTCCAGAGGGCTGAGGAAGGGTTGTTGAGGTGGTTCAGACATGTAGAGAGAATGGAGCGAAACAGAATGACTTCAAGAGTGTATCAGTCTGTAGTGGAAGGAAGGCGGGGTAGGGGTCGGCCTAGGAAAGGTTGGAGAGAGGGGGTAAAGGAGGTTTTGTGTGCGAGGGGCTTGGACTTCCAGCAGGTATGCATGAGCGTGTTTGATAGGAGTGAATGGAGACAAATGGTTTTTAATACTTGACGTGCTGTTGGAGTGTGAGTAAAGTAACATTTATGAAGGGGTTCAGGGAAACTGGCAGGCCGGACTTGAGTCCTGGAGATGGGAAGTACAGTGCCTGCACTCTGAAGGAGGGGTGTTAATGTTGCAGTTTAAAAACTGTAGTGTAAAGCACCCTTCTGGCAAGACAGTGATGGAGTGAATGATGGTGAAAGTTTTTCTTTTTCGGGCCACCCTGCCTTGGTGGGAATCGGCCAGTGTGATAATAAATAATAAAAATATTGCTCTATCATTTCAGATGTGCTTTATATTTTTTCATCTTTTAACCCTTCGAGGGTTGGAACTCTTGATTTGAAACTTGTTTTCAGGGTCAGAGAATTTTAAAAAAAAATCTCATGAAATGACAAAGAATTTCTTTTCAAAGGTAATGAAACCAAAAGTACAAAATTTGATGAAAAACTTATTGAATTACACTTGCAAATTTTGCTGTCTTGTAGGTGATTTCACCTACTTTGAGTCCTATTTTCAGCCAATTCTGTTGCTCCAGTCAACCAAATTCATAAGTATTTTGCTAGTATTCCTTCTATTCTATTGACTGAATACAAGAAACTGCCCATTTACTTAATTTAACTACCCAATAAAGTGATAAGAAATTGGTAATTTGGCAAATTTCACACAAAACTAAAAAAGTGACAATTTCAAAGCAGGGTCCAGAATAAACAATGTAAACATTCCTGGCACTAAAACAACATTTCCTCTGTTCATTAGTCACGTTTCTCAGGCCTCTCCTATATTACGCTTGCTTTCCATTTTGTATTTTTATTCACACAAAAAATAAAAGATTTACTGTTATGCAGACTACTGCATCACTGTAAAAATTGTATAAAGTCAGTGCATTTGTGGACACATATTAGACCAACCAGCTGGACGTATTTTGGACAAGTGACGTAATTTGTTTACTCTAGAATATAAGCAAAAATCGAACATTCCCACTAATTTGACCTCAATTTGAAACTACTTTCAGTCCTGAAACCAATTAAAATCATCTCTACTTCTGTGATGTAACTTCCATTCTATCATAGGAGCCCAAGAAACCAAGAATGCAACAATAAAAACCATATGAAAATACACTGCAAATTCCTATTTTTAACCAGAAACACAGTCACATTTTTTCCCATTATGCACTGCTTGCTGCAGAAATTTTTTTACATGGCACACACTTACCACACAGACCCATTCTTTCATATCTAGGCCTAAATTATCATTCACAGCTTATCTGAGTGAGCTCATGACGTAGAACTACAGGACTGACCCAGGCTTCAAAGTTGTAGTACTACGGGACCATAACCTTTTCAGGGTTTGTGCCATTGTTCTACAACTTTAACCCTTTCAGAGTCCAGAGGCCAAATCTCAGAATGACAGCCAGGGTCCAAGAATTTTTGAAAAAAAAAAAAAAAAAAAAATTACAGAATTAAAGATAATATTTTTCTATTGGTAATAAAACAAAAAAAAATTCTGATCAGTAGTTTCCAAGATAAAGAGGCGTGAAGTTGACCCTAAATGACCGGGTGGTGGCAACATTCGCGACTTCCACAAAGTTGCATTTTTTATTTTACTGTTTTGTTCCTTTTTTTCTTTTCTTTTCTAATTTTGATTTTTCCAGTAATGTTTGTGGCCTGTGAGATCAATATAATGCATAATGTATATATGTACACTCATTGTATTCAACACAATGACCACACTAATGTTTTCATCATTTTGTTTACAATAATTGTTTACATCAAAAAACATGCAAAAATGTTGTATATTAGTAATGTTCTATTATATATTTACATGTTCCTAGAATTGCTACAGTCTGTGAAAGTCTTTGAAACAAGGTGTCATGCACAGTGGTGTCTTACTCATCTGTGGACCAGTATGATTTTATATTATGCTTATAGAGATGAGGCATAAGCATTACTGTAGCAAAACAAATACATTTCAGCCACAGACATCTACTTCCACCAGTGGATGATGATGTTCTTTGTCCTGGAACTGCTGAGTCAATGGCTTGAGTCCCAGATTCACTCCCAGTCTGGGCTGGTGCCACATGCTACATGCACGCATGCTTGCATGCTCGTGGCATCACTACTACCTACTGACGCATGTAGTCTATCCATCCCAATTGTAGCCACATCATCGTCACTTTCACTGTCTATTCCAGGTGAAGGGCTACAGGATGTCCTCAGTCCCCTTGGAATTGCATATGGTATAGGGTACCATATGGTACCATATGGTACCATATTGTACCATATGGTACAATGTACCAGGGTACAGGAACAGGGACCTTAATGGAAATAAATCACTTTGTCTGATTCTTTTGGGTTATCCTAGGATCTTTACACATACGCTGCTGTTATGCAGATTGCTGCATTGCGTAAAATGTATAATGGAGAAATGTGCCATAATTTTATAAATTGACAATTGTAAATCATAATGTATACACTATGAATAAATGTAAAGCATAATTTTAGAAATATGCTATTTTGTACTGTAAAGTAGTTTAAACTGAAATAAAAGAGATCCTGCCGGGATTTATTTTCCAAGGGTGTAGATAGCATCGGGGTAAGCGTGGGTGGCTTCGGGTAGGCAGTTACGTGGGAAGCAGCATGGAGTGAACACGCTGGCAAGGCGCCGTGTATCTGAGCTAAGTTTGTACACTTTTTTGTCTAGGCAACTCAAGCCATAGGCTCTTTTATTGTTAACCAGTACGCTCACCTGAGCTCTGATGTGGTCAGGGCCCTGCGGGATGAGTGAGGACTGATGAAATAGGATGAGATGGTCTTGGGAAGAGAGTAGGGGACAGCGTCTGCTGGACACCGACCCCAAAGATACATGTGTGTCTTTGTGCTGGTCTAACTCTCCAGCCCGCCGGTTCCTTATGTACTTGTAGTTGGGTGTTTAGGCCAAGAGAAATG